GGCCATCATCCAGTCCAACCCCATTCTGCCAAGAAGCAGGAATATCACATTCAAAGCACCCCTGACAGATGGCCAGCCCCTACTTAATAATAATAATAATAATAATATAATGTAGCATAGCAAAATAATGGAAATGTAATTTATAATCCTAGAATCAAAGAGTTGGAAGAGTCCTCCTGGTCCATCATCCAGTCCAACCCCATTCTGCCAAGAAGCAGGAATATTGCATTCAAATCACCCCTGACAGATGGCCATCCAGCCTCTGCTTAAAAGCTTCCAAAGAAGGAGCCTCCACCACACTCACTCCGGGGCAGAGAGTTCCACTGCTGAACGGCTCTCACAGTCAGGAAGTTCTTCCTCGTGTTCAGATGGAATCTCCTCTCTTGTAGTTTGAAGCCATTGTTCCTTTGCGTCCTAGTCTCCAGGGAAGCAGAAAACAAGCTTGCTCCCTCCTCCTCCCTGTGGCTTCCTCTCACATGTTTATCCATGGCTGGCATCCTCAGAGGTTGTGAGGTCCTCAGACCCCCTTTCCGCTTAAGCGGCTGAGGGGCAAAAGGAAAGGGCCTGAGGACCTCACAACTTCTGAGGATGCTTGCCATAGATGCAGGCAAAACGTCAGGAGAGAATGCTTCTAGAACATGGCCATATAGCACGAAAAACCTACAACATTCAGTGTTCTTTGAGGGATGGATTCTGCAGTGGGACCCTTGCAAGGGAGGGGGGGGCATCAAGGACCCCACCACTGCAGGTCCAGGGCAGGCTGGCTTTGGCCAGACCCCGAGGCATTGGCTGTTGTACCACTCCTGGAGCCCAAGGGTGGACAAGGCCTGGCTCCAGCTCAAAATGCCTTCCTTTGCCCCTTCTGCTTCTCCTCCTCCTTCCTCTCCTTCTCCTCTTTCTCCTTCTACTTCTCCTCCTTCTCTTCTCCTCCTCCTTCTCCTTTCTCCTACTTCTTCTCCTTCTCTTCCTTCTCCTCTTCTCCTCCTCCTCCTCTTCCTTCTCTTCTCCTCTCCTCCTCCTCCCCTCCTTTCTTCTCCTCCTTCTCTTCCTTCTCCTCTCCTCCTCCTCCTCCTTCTCCTCCTCCTCCTCCTCCTCTTTCTCCTTCTCCTCCTTCCCCTTCTCCTCATTCTCCTCCTCCTCCTTCACTTCCTCTCCTCCTCCTCCTCCTTGTCCTTCTCCTTCTTCTCTGCCTGAGGAGTGGGCAGCAGGACCCTGGCCGTGCTGCCTCCCGGCTGCCCCTTTGGTGGCTGCGCTCTGTGGGCCTCCTTTTCCCTTTCCCTCTCTCCTTCTCCTTCTCCTCTTTCTCCTCCTTCCCCTTCTCCTCTCCTCCTCCTCCTCCTCCTCTCCTCCTCCTCCCTCTCCTTCAACTCTTTCTGCTTCTACTTCTCCTTCCCCTCTTCTTCTCCTTCTCCTCCTTCCTCTCCTTCCCTTTCTACTTCTCCTCCTTCTCTTCCTTCTCCTCTTCCTTCTCCTCTTCCTGAGGAGTGGGCAGCAGGACCCTGGCCATGCCACCTCCCTCCCAGGCTTCCCGGCGGCCCCCTTGGTGGCTGCGCTCTGTGGTCCTCCTTTCCCCTTTCCCTCTCTCCTTCTCTCTCCTTCTTTCTCTTTCTCTCTGGTCCAGGACTTTCTCTCAGCTGCAGAGTCAGCTTTGAAAAGACAGGAAAAGCGCTTGGCTCGCTTGTGTGTGTGTGTGTGTGTGTCTGGTTCTGTCCTCTTCCCCCCCCCCTCGGCCCCCCTTCCACTCGCCTGGCTGCATTATTTACTTCCAATATCGAGGCAGGAGGGAAAGCCAAGGCCTTGCTCCAGAGAGAAGGCCGAGGAGGGGTCCGGGAGGAAAGAAGGAGAAGGGCCCAAGGGTGGGCTGGAGATGACCCCATGGGCCACTCACAGGGGATGGTGACAACGCAGGCATGGGCCAACTTGGGCCCTCCCTCCCTCCCTCCAGGTGTTTTGGACTTCAACTCCCACAATTCCTAACAGCCGGTAGGCTGTTAGGAATTGTGGGAGTTGGAGTCCAAAAGACCTGGAGGGAGGGAGGGAGGGCCCAAGTTGGCCCATGCCTGTGATAACGCCATCACAGAAGGGTCCCACCAGGGTCCAGGAAAGGGGGGGCAAGGGGACCCCAAAGGAAGGGCACAAATGGGGAAAGAGACCCTTAGTCTCCCCTCTTTATGGCCTGATGGTCAGGAGGGGAGGGGTCTGCAAGGGCCACACTGCAACTGCTTTCTCCCTCTCCCTTTGCACCAGGAGCTCCACAGCCCCCTCGGCAGACCCCCCCCCAGACAACAACCACAAAGTCCCAACACACAAAAGGGACGCAACCCCATCGTGGAGGCACCCTGTAGCCCCTTCCCCAAAAAGCAACAGCAGAGGTCCAACACACCCAGGGGATGCCACCCCATCGTTGAGGCACGCCACAGCCCCTTCCCCATCCAGCCCTCTGAGGCCAAGGAAGGGGTCCCTTGAGTTGGGGTCCTGCCCCCCCCCAAAGGGCAACAGCAGAGGTCCAACACACCCAGGGCATGCCACCCCATGTCGAGGCACTTCGCAGCCCCTTCCTCAAACAGCAACAGAGAAGGTCCAACACAGCAAAGGGATGCCACCCCATGTCGAGGCACACTGCAGCCCCTTCCCCATCCACAGGGGCGGCTCAACCATTGTGCAAAGTAAGCAGTCGCGGTACAGTTGATGTTGCCCAGGGGTGCTCTTGAGGCGCTCTTGGGGGAAAATAGACCTTGACATATGCGAATTGTAGTTACTGGGATGTATAGTTCACCTACAATCAGAGAGCATTCTGAACTCCACCAATGATGGAATTGAACCAAATATGGCACACAGAACTCCCATGACAAACAGAAAATATACAGGGATTTGAATACTGATGTTTGATTTTGTCATTTGGGACTTGTAGTTGCTGGGATTTATAGTTCATCTACAATCAAAGAGCACTCTGAACTCCACCAATGATGGAATTGAACCAAATAGGGCACACAGAACTCCCACAACAAACAGAAAATATATATTGGTTGGGGGGGGGGCACCAAAATACTGTTTGCTTCCAGTTGAAAATTACCTAGGGCCGCCTCTGGTTATAGTTGCTGGGGTTTATAGTTCACCTACAATCAAAGAGCACTCTGAACTCCACCAATGATGGAATTGAACCAAATATGGCACACAGAACTCCCACGACAAACAGAAAATATATATCAGTGATTGGTTGGGGGGGGGGCACCAAAATACTGTTTGCTTACCATTGAAAATTACCTAGGGCCGCCTCTGCCCATCCAGCCCCCCTTTGCGCAGGGAGAGGCCAAGGAAGGGGTCCCTTGAGTTGTGGTCCGCCCCCCCCCCCAAAGGAACCCCTCTCCTAAAGCTTGAGGTGGCGCTGGGTCTTCTGGCGCTTGATGTGATTTTATTTGGTTCCAGAAAAGGCTCCTTGACATTCAGAAAGCCCTGCAAGGTGCCCCTCCTCCCTGGCACTAACCCCCCTTCCCCCCCAACCATGCAACCCCGAATTCCCAGGCCTTCTCCTGGCTCCCAAACCATTGAGGAGGTTGGCTCCGTTGCACACACAAACAGACACAGACCCCCCCTTCCCCCCCCCCCCCCCCCAGCAAAGTCATGGCATTGAGTGTCACTCACCCGGGAAGGACACGGCATTATGAAAAAATTTAACAATATTTATTAAAATACAAAAATACAGTTGTCTCAGAGTTACAGTCAGATTATTCTGGCTTTTGGATTGTTTGTTGTCGTCTTCGCCCCCCAAACAGTCCTCCCCCCATCTTATTTTTTGATTGCAACCACTTTGAGCCCATGAGAGGGGGGCCCCCCCGAACCAAAGTCACAAAGAGGGGAAGGAGGGGAGGGGAGGGAGGGGGCTCCTGGGGCAGCAATGTCAATCACCCCCCCCCGCTCCCCTCTGCCGTGCCCTGGCCGAGCAGCCCCCCCCCCCCTTTGCCCCCCCCCCCCCGGGAACAGCAGTGGGAGGAAGAGAGCGGAATAGGGAGACCCCTCCGCCCTCCCCCCCACCCCAAAAAAATGAACAAGAAGCACACACTTGGTTCAGGGTTCTACAATCATAGGTCAGATTGCCCACCGCCGGATTGCCCCCCCCATTCAGCCCTAAGTGGGGGGATGGGGAGGGGGTTCCCCTCCCTCCCCTCCCCCCTCCCCGGCGGCTCTGCACCTCGGCCCCCCTGCCCACCCTCCAGCCAGCAGTGCAATGCAATGCAAAGCAAGGCAACCGCAGGAATGTGCTGCATTGGGCAGGAGGGCCGGCCAACAGCAGAGGAAGCCGTGTCGGTCTGCCCCCCCCCCAACACTCTTCCCCCAATCCCTCCTCTCTTATCTCTTTTGGGGGAGCACACTGATGGGGTGGGGGGGTCACTGGACGGAGCCCCCCTCCAATCCCCCATTGACACCCACAGACCCCCCCTCGCCCCCCCACATCCTGCCACCAGCACAAAGGGAGGGGGTTTATGGGGTGGGGGGGGCAGGCAGGCAGGCAGGCCTCTGCTGGTTGAAGATTTTTTGCTGTTTGATGAGATGCTTCATTCCCTTTGCGTTAATTGTCTTTTGCTTACAAAAAAAGAAGGGGAGGGGGAGAGAGGGAGGAAGGGAGGGAGGGGGGAACAAGACCTCTTTTATTGCATTGGTCACCTTTTGGCACAGGACGACAACCCCCCCCCCACTCTTTCCTTCCTTCCTTCCTCCCCCCTTTTCTGTAAATAGCTGCAAATATGGAGACTTTTGCTTTTCCCGGGGGGGGGGGGGGTCTTTACGAAAAGAGTGTCTCTATAGAAACGGGTTTGTTTTTGCTGCATTCTAAGTAACGTCTTCTAAAAAGGAAGGACCCCCCCCCCCCAAAAAAAATACTCACTCCCCTCTCTTTGGGGATTTCTGGCTCGCTGTCCTTCCCTGCTCGGCCTTCTTCTCCTTCTTCCCAGGCCGCTGTGGCCATTTCTGTCTGTTTTTGTGTGTGGTTGGGGGGGGGGGCATTCTGCTTTTTGGGGGGGGGGTAAGGGAGGTTATTTGCTGCCTCCTTTTAAATAGAACTTGCACGTCCAAAGACAGGGTGTTCTTCCTCTTCCCCCTCTCTCTCTCTGTCTGCCTGTCTCTCGTCACATCCTCTGCTCCTCTGACCTCGGCCCAAGGACTTAATATATAAGCATGTACAAGGAGAAACCCCCCAAGGCCTGTGTCGCCACCGTCTCCGTCTTCGTCGCCACCCCATCCCCCCACCTCCCCCCAGAGGCCCCCTCCCCACAGCCTCTCTGTACAAAATTGGAGGCCACCCCTGCCGCCGCCGCCACCGCCGTGCGTGTGCGGGGTCTTGTGCATCCCGTGGCAGGGAGCCTAGAGTTTGCCGGACTAAGGGACCCCTGATCCTCAGATCTGCGTCTCCTGCACTTTCTCCTTGGGGTGGGTCTGGATTATGTACGGCTCGGCAATAGTCGTGACTGTGGGGTGCAGGGAGTTCCCCAGGCAGTTTTCTGTCCAGTGGGCCCCGTGGGGGGGTTTGTAAGTGTTGTAGTTAAGGTGGTCATGGATAGCAGCCGGCAGTACAACTGCCCCCTCACCTGATCCGCCCGACGACGACGGCGCCGGCTTGGAGGGGCCCGAGGCGGACGACATCCCTGCCGAGCCCGTGGAGGCCGAGGCCGGGGCGGCAATGTCCTCGTCCACCTGGATGATCTCCACGGTCCGGGCGGCGGCCACGGTGCTGCGCTGCTGGTGCCGCTTGCGCAGCTTGTAGAAGACGATCAACATGGCCGCCGCCAGCAGCGTCACGGCCACAAAGCAGCCAATGATGATCTTGGTGGTTTTCATCACCTCGTCCAGGCTGGTCTGCATCTTGTCGTTGCCGTTGCTGTTGCTGTTGCCGCCCTCGGGGCCCGGGGCCGGCCCGCCCGGCTCCTGCTGCCGGGGCCCCGGGCGGGTGGCCTGGACCAGGACGGTGGTGGTGGTGGTGTAGGCCGGCTGGTACCCGGCGGAGGAGGCGGAGGCGGTGGGCACGGGCTTGGAGAACTTGGGGAAGAGGGTCTCGGGGGCGCTCTCGGTGGTCTCCACGGTGACGGTGGTGAAGAAGCTGTAGTTGGAGGTGTTGAGGAGCTCGGCGGCGCTGGCGTTGAGGTAGGCCGAGGCGTTGGAGCGGCCGGCCACGTTGGCCACCATGCAGGTGTAGAGGCCCGTGTCGCTCAGCAGCACCCGCGAGAAGTTGAGGGTGCCGTCGTTGAGCACCTGCAGGCGCGGGTGGGCCGAGGCGTGGCTGAGCACGGAGCCGTCGGGCAGGAGCCAGCGCACGGCGGACATGGCGGGGGTGCGGCAGCGCAGCTCGGCCGGCCGGCCCTCGGAGACGTTGAGGTCCCGCGGGGCGTCCATGATGACGGGGGCGGCGCAGCGGAAGGCGGCCTGGTCCACCTCCAGCAGGAAGCGGCCGCGCAGGTGGGCGGGGGCGTGGCAGCGGCCGCAGCAGGTGGAGTTGGTGGGGATGGACTCGCGCAGCCACCAGGCTAGCCAGAGCACGTCGCAGTCGCAGCTCCAGGGGTTGTGGTGCAGGTGGAGCTCCACCAGGTAGCGCAGCGGGGCGAAGAGGTCGTGGGGCAGGGCGCTGAGGTTGTTGTGGGCCAGGTTGAGCTCCACCAGGGCGGCCAGGCCCTCGAAGGCGTCCCGCTCCACCAGGCCCACCTGGCAGCTCATCAGCCAGAGCTTGCGCAGGGAGCGCAGGCCCCGGAAGGCCCCCGGGCGCAGGGCCGGGAAGTGGTTGCCCGAGAGCTCCAGCTCCTCCAGCCCCACCAGCGGGGCCAGGTTGGGCACCTCGCGCAGGCCGCACATGCCCAGGTTCAGGTACTTGAGGTTGTGCAGGCCCTCGAAGGCCCCCTCGGAGACGTACTTGAGGCGCTTGAGCTCGCCCAGGTCGAGGCGCATGAGGGAGGGCACGCGGTTGAAGGCGTAGGAGGAGATGCTCTCGATGGGGTTGTTGCGCAGCCAGAGCTCGCGCAGCTTGGACAGGTACTCGAAGGCCCCGCTGGGCACCACGGTCAGCCAGTTGTCGAAGAGCTCCAAGGTGTTGAGGCTGGCCAGCCCGTTGAAGGCGCCCACCTCGATCTGCCGGATGGCGTTGCGGCCCAGCTGCAGGACCTCCAGGTGCCGCAGGTGCCGGAAGGTGTCCGCCTGCACCCGCCGGATCTGGTTCTCCATCAGGTTCAGGAACCGCGTCCCCGGGGGGATGCCCGCCGGCACCTCGCCCAGCCCGCGCCGCGTGCAGACCACCTTGCTCAGCTGGGGGCTGCACGAGCAGGCCGAGGGGCAGCTGTGTCCAGATGAGGAGGAGGAGGAGGAGGACGAGGAAGGGGCAGAGCCCCCCGCCCAGGCCCGGCCCGGGCCCCACGCCAGCACCAGCACCAGCCCCAGGCACACGGCCAGGCCCAGGCCCCGGCCGGAGGGGTCCTTGCGGGGAGGGGGCGGCCCGGGGGCGCTCATGGCCGACCGCGTCCATCGCGACCCATCATCGCGGGGGGGAGGGGGCGGAGGAGGAGGAGGAGGAGGGAGGGGGGGCGGGGGTCCTCTTCGGCCTCAGCCCGGCGGCGGCGGCGGGCCTCTCCCCATCCGGGCCAGCGGGGTGGCGGGGGGGCGCCCCCTCCTCTTCCCCTCCTCTCCTTCTCCTTCTTCTCCTTCTTCCAGGCGGGGGAGGAGGACGAGGCGGGGGGGGGGGTGTCTTAAGGCCTCGGAGGGGGCGTCAGGCGGGGGAGGCGGGGCTTGGCTGGGGGCGGGGCTCCTCTTCGGGGGGCGGGGGGGCCGAGGCGGGGGCGGCAGCGGCGGGCATCCATGGCCCTCCCTCCCCCCTGCTCTTCTACTCCGGGGGGGGGGGGGGAGGAGGAGGCTCTGCGGCGGCGCGGGGGGGGGCTCCTTGCTTCAGCGGGCGGAGACTGCGGCGGGGAGGGTGAGAGCGGGGGCGGGGGGGCGGCTGCGGCCCGGGACCCTCTCCCCCCGGATCGGGCTCTCCCTCTCCGTCCTCCTCCTCCTCCTCCTCCTCGTCGTCCTCCCGCTTCCTTCTCTGCTGGCGTGCGTCCTCCTCCCGGTGTTGCCCCTCTTTCTCGTCCTCGTGGTGGTGGTGGTGGTCGTCCTCCCTCCGGCGCTAATGCTGTTTCCCGGGGCTGGCGCAGTCTGCACCGGCCCCGGCGCCTCGCGCATCCTTTTGTCCTTCACTCGGAACGGAGCCCCGCCGCCGCCGCCGCCGGAGGAGGAGGGAGAGGAAGAGGAAGAGGAAGAGGAAGAGCAGAGGAAGGGCAGAGGAGGAAGAGGAAGAGGCGGGGGGCGCTTCTCTGCTGCCCAGCCCGGTGCCGCCGCCGCCGCCGCCGGTGCCGTTGCTGCTGCTGCTGCTGACGCATCGGCTCCTCCCCCCCCCCTCTTCCTCCTCCTCCTCCTCCTCCTCCTCCTCCTCTTTTCTTCCCGGGCGGGAGCGGGAGCGCAAGCGTCATCCTCCCCCCTCCCCTTCCACGCCGAGGAGGAGGAGGAGGCTGAGGCTGCCAAGGAAGGAGGGCACCGGCGCCCCCTCCCAAGCCCCTTACTCGTCTCTTGGCAGAAGGGAGGGAGGGAAAGGAAAGGGGAGGGAGGGTCCCGCGGGTCTCTCTCTCTCCCGGCGGGGGGAGGGTCTGCCCGCCCCGCCTCTTGCGGGGGAGGGGGCTGACACATGCCGAGACCCCCGACCCAAGTCCAGAAGGAATCATTCCCGGGTCTGGCTTGCGAGAGAGGGAGAGAGGGAGGGAGGGTCCCGCGGGTCTCTCTCTCTCCGGGCGGGGGGAGGGTCTGCACGCCCCGCCTCTTGCGGGGGAGGGGGCTGACACATGCCGAGACCCCCGACCCAAGTCCAGAAGGAATCATTCCCGGGTCTGGCTTGCGAGAGAGGGGGGAGGGTCCCGCGGGTCTCTCTCTCTCCGGCGGGGGGAGGGTCTGCCCGCCCCGCCTCTTGCAGTGGAAGGGGCTGACACATGCCGAGACCCCCGACCCAAGTCCAGAAGGACTCATTCCCGGGTCTGGCTTGCGAGAGAGGGAGACAGAGAGGGAGGGAGGGTCCCGCGGGTCTCTCTCTCTCCGGGCGGGGGGAGGGTCTGCACGCCCCGCCTCTTGCGGGGGAGGGGGCTGACACATGCCGAGACCCCCGACCCAAGTCCAGAAGGACTCATTCCCGGGTCTGGCTTGCGAGAGGGAGAGAGAGAGGGAGGGTCCCGCGGGTCTCTCTCTCTCCGGGCGGGGGGAGGGTCTGCCCGCCCCGCCTCTTGCAGTGGAAGGGGCTGACACATGCCGAGACCCCCGACCCAAGTCCAGAAGGACTCATTCCCGGGTCTGGCTTGCGAGAGAGGGAGACAGAGAGGGAGGGTCCCGGGGGTCTCTCTCCGGGCGGGGACAGGGTCTGCAGGTCCCGCCTCTTGCTAGTGGAGGGGGCTGACACATGCCGAGACCCCCGACCCAAGTTTAGAAGGAGCCGTTGTGCTGTTCCCGGGTCTGGCAAAAAGGGAAAGTAAAGAGAGAAAGAAGAGGAGACGACGAGGGAGACGAGAAGGAGAGACGAGAGGACGCCCCGAGGGAGGGACGAGCGAGGAAGAGGGCCCCCCCCCCCAATGATGCTGTTGCTCCCCCTGCTTCTTCTCCAAAGCCCCTTGCGGTGGAGGGGGCTGACATGCCGAGACCCCCGACCCAAGTCTAGAAGGAGCGGGTGTGTTATTCCCGAGTCTGGCTTGCGGGGGAGGGAGAGAGAGAGAGAGAGAGAGAGAGAGGAAGCTCCGAGGGAGGGGGGGGAAGGTGCCCCTTCCTCCAAGGATGCTGCTGCGCCTCCTGCTCCAGGGACCCCCAGGGCAGGAAAAGGGGTCCCGCCTCAACACCGGGAGGAACTGAACTTCCTGTCCCCTGGGCTCTCCTTCCTTCCTTCCTTCCTTCCCTGGAGGTTTCCAAGCCACAGCTGGATGGTCATCTGCTGGGGTGGCTTGGGTGGTCCCTCCTTGACTCAGCCCCTTCCTCCTCCTCCAAGATCCTGCGCCCTCTTCGCCAGCAGAGCCAAGCTTGTGGTGGGCTCTGCTGGGGCTTGGGAGGCTCAAGAGCTCTTTAGACACTCCTCTAGGCTCTTTTCCAAGTGGCGGCTGGATGGCCATCTGCTGGGGTGGCTTTGGTGGTCCCTCCTTGCCTGGCCCTGGGCTCCCCTTCCTCCTCCTCCAGGATCCTGTGCCCTCTTTGCCAGCAGAGTCAAGCTTGTGGTGGACTCCAGTGGGCCGTGAGAGGTTCAAGAGCTCTTTGGACACTCTCCTGGGCTCTCCTTCCTTTCTTTCTTCCCTGGAGGTTTCCAAGCCACAGCTGGGTGGCCATCTGCTGGGGTGGCTTGGGTGGTCCTTCCTTGACTCAGCCCCTTCCTCCTCCAAGATCCTGCACCCTCATTCCCAGCAGAGTCAAGCTTGTGGTGGGCTCTGCCGGGGCTTCAGAGGCTCAAGAGCTCTTTGGACACTCCTCTAGGCTCTCCTTTCCAAGTGGCGGCTGGATGGCCATCTGCTGGGGTGGCTTTGGTGGTCCCTCCTTGCCTGGCCCTGGGCTCCCCTTCCTCCTCCTCCAGGATCCTGTGCCCTCTTTGCCAGCAGAGTCAAGCTTGTGGTGGACTCCAGTGGGCCGTGAGAGGTTCAAGAGCTCTTTGGACACTCTCCTGGGCTCTCCTTCCTTCCTTCCCTCCCTCCCTTCCCTTCCTTCTTTCTTTTCTTCTTCCATCCATCCATCCTTCCTTTCCTCCTCCCTTCCTTCCTTCCTCTCCTCTCCCTTCTCTTCTTTCCTTTCTTCCTTCCCCCCCCCCCCCCGAGGACCCTCCTCCCAGCCCCTTGCCACCCTGGAGATGGGCCTCCTTTGGGTCTTCACTTGTTCCTTTAGGCCAGGCGTGGGCCAACTTCAGCCTTTCTCCAGGTGTTTTGGACTTCAGCTCCCACCAATCCTGAAGTTCAAAACACCTGGAGGGAGGGAGGGAGGGAGGGAGGAGGGAGGGAGGGCCTAGATTTTCTCAGGCCTGCTTTAGGGCCCCTGACCTGTTATTGAGCCAGGTAATCCCGCTAACTTGTAATGGTGGCACCTTCCGAGGTCACTCTTGGGAACTTGCTCCCAAGGCTCATCCAGCCTGGCTTTGCCCACAACCATGTCTGAGGCCTGTGAGAAGGGCCTGCCTGGAGGACTCCGGCCCCTGCTGAGGGGGGTCCAAGGGGTCAGGAGACAATGCCAGGTGTGCCTTGTTTTCCCTGGCGGCGTTGCAGAGACCCTTCAGCGGCAGGGACCCCATTGCATTCACGCCCCACCTTTCCACCAGTGCAAACGCGGATGCGGCGCTCCTCTAGGGAAGCTTCCGCCCTCCTGCTCCCAGTCTTTCTTCCTTTACTCCTTTGTCACCTCGTGGACCACACACCCTTTCCAGCCTGGTTTCAGACGTATGTGGAGGAGGCGCCTTCCTTCTTTGGAAGCTTTGAAGCAGAGGCCGGATGGTCATCTGTCGAGGGTGCTTTGAAGGCGATTGTCTTGCTTCTTGGCCGAATGGGGTTGGACTGGATGATGGCCCAGCTTGAGGATTCTAGGATTCTGGGATATATGCACACACACACACATACTTACTTAGGCGATCCCTCATTTTCCGAGGAGGATTGTCTTCCAGTATTCTTGTGGGTCCGTATGTGGCTGTGGAGCCCTATTCTTGCTCTGCATCTTCTTCCACAGTGAGGGCATTAGTTTCCAGGTGGGAGGCAGTCTTGGTTGGGGTTGGCTTGACGCGCCTTCCTCTTGGCACGCTTCTCCCTTTCGGCCTCCATTCGTGCCTCTTCAGATTCTGCAGCACTGCTGGTCACAGCTGACCTCCAGCTGGAGCGGTCAAGGGCCAGGGCTTCCCAGTTCTCAGTGTCTATGCCAGAGTTTTAAAGGTTGGCTTTGAGCCCATCTTTCAATCTCTTCTCCTGCCTACCAACATTCCACTTTCCGTTCTCGAGTTCAGAGTAGAGACGGTGGTCAGACATCTGGACAACGTGACTGGTCCAGCGGAGTTGATGGCGGAGGACCATCGCTTCAGTGCTGGTGGTCTTTGCTTCTTCCAGCACGCTGACATTTCGTTGTCCCAAGAGATTTGCAGGATTTTCCGGAGGCAGCGCTGAATGGAATTGTTCCAGGAGTTGCATGTGACGTCTGTAGACAGTCCATTTCGCGTATATAGCAGGGTTGGGAGGACAATAGCTTTATAAACAAGCCCTTGGTCTCCCTACGATGTCCTGGTCCTCAAAACACTCTCTGCTTCATTCAGAAAATGCTGCACTTGCAGAGCTCAGGCGGTGTTGTATTCAGTGTCATTTGACGTCTGTAGACAGTCCACGTTTCGAGGCATGTAGAGCAGGGTTGGGAGGACAATAGCTCTATAAACAAGCACCTTGGTCTCCCTACGGATGTCCCGGTCCTCAAACACTCTCTGCTTCATTCGGAAAATGCTGCGCTCGCAGAGCTCAGGCGGTGTTGTATTTCGGTGTCAATGTTGA